AACCAGCAGCAGCAGCAGCAAGCAGCAACAGCAACCAGCAGCAGCAGCAATCAGCAGATGAATAATATTTGCCTAATACGTATTATATTTATATATATAAATACATCTCCAAAAATAAACAAATCACGCATGTTCATGTGCAATTTACAGTACATAGTTTTTGGCTTCGCTATTTGGAACCTGCGCCTCCCAAAGGGTCTGCAGACTGCTTGTGTGAAACCAATGCCATTGGCCACCGATTGTCTTGGAATGCCGGCTTCATTTGTTTTTCAATTGTTTTCCGGTGCTATGTAGCATGTCCTCCGCCAGCCTCTGGTGGCCCGAGCAATGATACCGGTGCTGTGCACTCATGTAAAGGCGCTATCGTTGACGCGCGTGGAAGATGCACTGTTGGCCGATGAGTGGATCTCTGGGTGTGTTGTGTGGGATTATTGGATGAGACACAATGCGCACCTCGGCTCAGTTTTTTGACGTCCTTGTTCACGGTTGTGTTGCTACTTTTTCGTCCCTGTGCACCATCACATGACTGTCATGCATGTCCCATGCGGAGTTTCAGGGCACAAAACGTAAGTACGTGTTTTCCTGCCGGTTGCTTGGTTGCTTGGCCAACCGCAGAGGAATGCTGAATTTGGGGAGGGCAAAGGTTTGGCTGTGTAATTTTTTAATGCCGCGAAAATGTTGACCATGACAACTGCAACCGCTGCAAGTTGCAAGTGCCAAATTTATATAGATGTTTTCATGAGAACCCGCCCAACTGAAACAGCCGATGAAATGCACCACAAGCATTACATGCACAACAAGAATCTGTACGACACTGTACGATTGACATCAAACTTGCAAGTGTTTTGCAACGCAGGATTGTAGCCTTGTACATCCTATAGGCCTGCTCCTGTCACATGTGAGGTTTTGATTTTCCTTGTTGATCAAATATGGACTGGTTTTGTGAAGCTGCATCACCTGCAACTCAGGCGTGAAATCATTGTAGAACCGTGGCGCTGGGAAACGCCCCCCGATCCTAGCAAAGCTAGGACGGTAAGTGGCAAGCGGAAGATGGATTTTGTGATGCCAGTTCCGCCCATACCCATGTGCCCACCAGAGACGCGAGTGACGGTCCAATATGAAGTTGGACTTGCACACAACGAGCATGGCAAAGAGATTCTTCACGTGAAATCCTCCACAGTATCACATGATGTTCCCTATGGTGATCATTTCAGCGTGGACGAGAAGATCGAGATGCTGCGAGAAGGTGATGGTGTGTTGGTGACGAAGTCCTGGTCCGCCGACTGGGTCAAACGAAGTTTTCTTAAATCGATGATTGACACCTGCCAGTGGTTTTGGTATGATTTTCATTTTCTGATGATTTTTGGTGTATTACTGTATGTCCTTTTTCGGGTTGGGCTGCATCTCCACAACCCAACTGAGACGGACTGGAAACTCAACATCAGACTTATATTTTTTCCCCAGGGTCTTGAAAACCATGTGTCCAAGGAAAGAAATGTTAAGAATTCGCAAGCAGACACCTGCGAGAAATTGATTGTTGCTTGGGAGGATTACCGTCGGACCGGCATCGGTGGGGACCTGGGAAGATCAGCCAGATCTTCGTACGGATCCGTGTTCTATATAACTAATTATAACTGTATATAGATCCATTTATTCCGGGTGTGTGAGAAGTTCCATGTGGGATGAAGCCGGGTACGGGTGATATGAAGGTTCTTTGTTGCGAACATTTTGGGATGGTACATGTTGATGCTATAAGTGGGCAGCATCTGGCTAAAACCTGGTGATTATCCCGGATTCCCGGATTCGGAATCTGCAGGGAAGTCCGCATTTGGGGTGGGGATGTGCATGTTTCCTTAGTTCTCTAGAAGTACTCGTAGCTGTGTCATTTTCCTCGGCAACTGATGCCGACTAAGGCAGTCTTGCAGGCGTATGCCGATGAAGGATCACCCGTGGACAGTTTTGGTTCCCCCATGTCGCGCAGCCCGGAGTCTGATGGAAACCTGTTAGACCTCGACGGCGACGAGTTTATGTCGGTGGATGGGGATGACGAGGACGCGTCCTTTGAAGACGCGGATGGTGGAGAAGTCGCTGGGCGGAAGGGAATGATGTGAATGGAACTCGGGCAGAGGGGGCGCTGTGAGAAGCTCCCAACATGGCCGTATGCATGGGAAGAAGGCGGTTTCAAGGTCCAATTCTAATTCCTTGGTCTTTGGATGGTGCGTTTGGCTCAAACCTCGCTCTCTAGTGGATGGACGGGTCGCCTTACTCTCAAGAGGCTCAATCTTTTGACAAGTTCCCAGGACCTCTCCTCACCAAGAGCCACAGTTGGAGTGGATGATGGTTGCCTCAAATACGCGTTGTTTTTGCACCGACTCATTGCCCCCACGTCATTCCAAATATCAAATAGCAAAAATTCATTTTGGCACATTGACGTCCGTTCTTGCTCGAAGATGCCAGCGGTGAGCTGGTGGGCGCCTAGGTTGAGGCCAGTACCTCGCTTCTGGAGTTCTTAGGTGACGCATTTAGCACTTTCACCATGAGCAGGCGGAGACATGTCTCGTGTTTCAGCCTCTGGGGCCTGTGGCTGTTGTGTTTTTGTCTTTAGCGTTTTGTTTTGCTGTGTTATTGGTGCATTTTTGTGCAGGTACGGTGCAGTAGGTATGTGTGTTTTGTTTATTTTCTTGCTTTTCCCAAAGACCGAGGGAAGGAGGGAGGGAGGCAGGGAAAGAAGGAAGGAAGGAAAGAAACGACAAAAGCAACTGACAGGGTCATACTGAGTCGGTTCTTGGTTGTTTTGCTTTTGGGTGGGGTGCTGAGATCTCCTCCCAGCCTCGTTCAGCTTCCAAGTGCAAAGTGCCAACAAAAGCCAGGCGCAAGCAACCCAAAAGCAGCTAAGCAGGCAACCAAGGAGGGCTGCAAATAGCAGGAATTGTCATAGCAGCAGAAGCTGACGGCATGCATCAGGATGTCCAAAGTGCTTTTGAACAATTTGTTGAACACATCCCACATGCCCCACAAAAATGATAAACATCCGAATTAAGTTAACTTGGCCACCCTTTGATTGCTTTGTCTTGTGAGAGTGGTAAATGCCCCGAGATGGATGCAGACGGATGTATGATTTGGAAATTGTTGTTGTTGTTGCTGGTGTTCTTTTGAGGTGTTTGGGCATGGGGGTCAAACAAGGGGAAGATTCCGCAGGCCTTCAGATTTGAGCTGGAATGTGCCAACCCCATATACCCTCACAGCTATTGGAATCCACATCTTGTTTGATGTTCCTTGAGGCCCTTGAGACTTGATGTCAATGTGTTTTTGGTACTTCTGGTGTGTTCTTGATCTACTGTTAAACATATATCCATATATATCCCCCTTATCCGCGGAACACGGATTTCTCCGGGCCAGCTTTGTGTGCTTCGCCACCGGCCAGATGGCGACCGTCTAGGGCTCAACACGGGGAACGCATCGTTTTTGAGGCGCGTCGGACGTCCGACGTCGCCCACCATGGAACATATGGAAAACCGTCCTTTCCAGCAGAGAGGGCGTACTTTCCACGGCCTTTTTGGAGTTATTTCTCGTTGTTGTTGCAGAATTTGGCAGTTGGAATAAGAGTTTCAAGGAGAACGACGGACTTTCAACTGAAAGGTCCAACACCGCGATCGGTCCAACGCCGCACACCTTCTCAAAAGAATCCACTCGATGAGGAAGTGAGGAGCCCGTTCGTGTGTCGCGCGGAGTGCGGAATTCCGGCTCCTTCCGATGATTGGCACTCCGCGCCTCCAGGTGTGGGAGTTGCAGCGGCGGACCACCATGTTCCACGACGATTGGCGTGCCCCATTTCTTCCTCATGATGGCCAGAAGACGCTGGGCGGAAGCGGACACTGCAGGACCATCGTTTTGCGAACAGGAAGCGAGTCTGGCTCCACGACGTGTGGAGCCAACGATGAGCGAACGAGCAGTTAAGGAAGGGACTGTTCGATGCAACAGGTTACAATCAAGCTCTACTCAACTCCGGCCACGTGTCCTGTTGAATCTTTTGGTTTGAGTGGAATTGTTTTGTATGTATTTGTTCGCCGTGTGTGGATGCTGGGGCTGTATTGTTTTGTATGTCAACATCCAACCTGCAAGTTTGTTGTATTGTGATGGGCGCTTGCAGGTGTTTTTGATGAGTCCTTGGAAAGTGTACCCGTGTACCCCAGACCTTTAACCTGCTGCAGTTTCCACAAGCAAGTTGATAAGCCGCTACCCAAGTTGATAAGGCATGTCGGCATGTCACGTAGAACGCCTTCGGGGTGTTCACTAAAATTTGTCATTTGTTTGCCTATCGGTGGTGCTTTCAGATGTTGACCTTGTCCGATGATTAAACCCACTGGCTCAAATATCTCAAAGCTTTCGAGTTGAAACCACCCGATTCCGATGGCACGCACTGGTCCCCTCCAAGGCAAGCTCGCTGGGTCGATGACAGGCGCGCGGAGAAGCGAAGCGCAGAAGCGAAGCAAATGAGACACGCTGCGAAGCGAAGCAGATGCGTTGGAATGATCCAAGCAATCCAAGAAGGATGCGAAGCAAAACGCCATACGCACGCCACGTGTTGATCCATCTTTGGCCTCTATAGGGGGTGTTGTGGCGCACCGAAACCTCACCTCTTTGTGGCCTTCGCTCACGGTCAGCAGCTTTCGCTCCCAGGTACCACAAGCATCCCTGGGTCTTGATGACATCCGGGGATGCGGCGGTCAAGGATCGACCACCGATTTCTGGACCCGCAGCCATGTGCGAGCAGGTGAGGATGGGGAGACGGGGTGGGAAGACCAGCACACCGAGCTGTGCGGAAGAACTTGCAGAACATGTCTTAGATATCGATTAGTAACCCCCGTAATTTGGATTTATGTGGCCTCTTCATATGGGGGGTGAAATATGACTTTAATCAAGAGTCACATCAGCGTTTTGGGAGCAAAGATTGCAGGAGGACGCCCGCGACAAGAAACAGGATATGATATGAGTAGTATATGTGAGTGTATGCGGCTTGAAGGACATTTGCGCAGCCACCCCTGCAGCCCAACTTAGGCTAACCTGCTAGCCTTTATCCTCCTGTGGCGCATGTTGGAAAGGGTTTGTCCCTTGTACTGGTCCCATGCTTTTGTTGGGAACTTTCTTTTGCACTTGTGAAATCAGCCCGGGACCCCCCAAATGTTGAAAGTCGAGGCACATGCAACAAGCTAACCTGTTTCAGAAGCTAACCGCTAACCCGTTTCACTCTGTTTGTTTTTCCTGCGGATTAAGCTACGTCAATCTGGACGCATGGCCATGGTCACGAGCACGTGCTACCAGGAGGAATGGCATGTGGCCACGGAAGGACACAAGGACAAGGACTGCGAGCTCCTCTTGTGGAACATGACGATGTTTAATTCTGAAGGTGGTCAATGAAAAGTGGGTTTTGAGCTGTTGGTCTTTCCAGAAATCTACCAAGTTGGCGCAACTGCAGAAACAAACAACGAACAACCACCACCACCACCACCACCACCACCACCACCACCACCACCACCTTTTTGGCTAATACTATCTTTTGGAACCTCTACCACATCCTAGAAGCAAAAACTGGTGCCCAGTGGTTGCTGTTGCACCCCGTCAAAAGGTGTTTGTCCCTACTCCCTCCCAGAAACAAACACTGCAGCCCCGTTATTTTGACCCCACCCCACCAGAAGAACACCTCAAAAAGCAGAAAAAAGCGTGACCAACCCAGACCTCAGTGAAACAAGTCCAACAAGTCCAGCTACTTGCGAAACCAACATTCCCTCAAACCTGCAGCCGGATCCGTATCCCTAACCTTGTCCACTTGAAGTTCCAGAGTTACAACATGTGACAAGTGACAATTATGTTGGGCGGCTGCTTTGGTTCCTACCACCAACAACGACACCAACAGCAACAACAACAGTCAACCATCGATCATTCTTTTTGGAGATCGGTCAGGCAGATGATTGGTGACTTTATGGCCACCCGCATGCACCAGCCCACAATTTCAACCAAAGGCCTTGCAGTTGGATCCTGCGAGTGTCTTTTCAATAGGAGGGCTGGCAGTACGCACCGGACTTCTACAAGAAGCCCAACAAATGGGGCGATCCTTGGCTGGAGTTGGGGGGGGAAACTGTGGAACTGCCCCATTCAGAGGATTCTGAGACGGGGGCATCCACATTCCCCGTGAAACCGGAACCGTTCGGAGCTATAGGGAGTTCTCCAACCCCTTGCTAGCGTGGGTTTAGGCATGTGCCCAGACTTGTCACAAGGTTCATATCCACTCTTGGTCAGCAGAACACTGCTTCTTTCCCACCTCTCCATCATCGAATTTAGATGAATTTAGTAGTGCCCACTGGGCTCTCCAATTTGCTGTTGGTTCTTAGCTTTTGCTCATTTACCCGTGTCAAGTTGACTGCGCACGGCCACCGGCCACGCAAGTCTCATAAATCCTCGGTCCTCACACGTGAGTCCGGAATTTCGCACGAACACTCCTGGAAAAATATTAAAGCTTGTTTTGGACAACTTTACCTGGACCACAAAAGACAACGAACCAAGTAGTGCAGGGTATTCTGAACCCAACGTGCTGGTATTGATCCTGCACTAGTCGGACAGCGGGACAACCCACTGAGAGGGAATCATCCACTGAGTCGTGCCGTGCCGCCAGACGTTTTCAGGCGAAGGCGGCGATTTGCCTGTGCCGACGGCGCTTGTGGAAATGCACCTTTGTGCCGCGATGGACAAATTGAGGAGCCACCGTCACCATCAAGAACTAAGACGCGCCTGTTTTCAATGTTAATCAATGTCAATACCGTACATTATTGTGTGCATATAGACGTCATAGATTCACAATGATTTAATTACATATTTGTACAAGTCCTTTTGCAACCTTACTTCCTGAGCCACCACCAACAGCAATCCACCAGATCGCTCGAATGGATGTGGCATCACTTTGTAGTGATGCTTGTCCCGATGGGGCTGAGGACGGTTCCCGTACGTTCCCGAGAACGTCAAGCCGCAAGCCTCCACTCCAAAGGGCCCAAAACCCCGGACATATGGAGGAAAAGCGAGGAAGGGGGTGCCCCGGACATATGGAGGAAAAGCGAGGAAGGGGGTGCCCTGTTTTTCAGGGAAGAACATGGAAATCATGGAAGAACACATCCGAAGTGTTTTGCTTGGACGCATGCCTCGGGTTTTCCGAGTGGCCTCAGTGAGTGGCCTGAGGTGCGGATGCCGAAGGTGGTCCAGCCAAGAACCATCGTGCTCCAAATCTGGGAATTGCAGCGCAGGAGGGATGCGGGGGCAGCTGGAGAGTATTGGAGGTGAGAGTGTCATGCATGACTTGTGGTGGATGTGGGTGGTTGATTTTTGAAAAAAGAAACGGTGAGCTTTTGCCAGTGCTCGTGATTGCTTCTTTTCCCCAAACCTAGAAGGACCTAGAGATTTGAATCAATTCTGACCAGAGCGCCCATAAGGCCCATCCTATCATAAATCACGAAAGGTAGCCCTTTAGGGGATACCTTGAGTTTGTCTTGCGAAGCAAGTGTTGGGACGTCCGGGTCTAATAATTGATCGCTCAATTCAGACCCCCCCCCC